CTGGGTTCTGCCTCGGCCGCGCACGCCTTGGCTGGTGCGGCGGGAGCGCGCGCCGCCCGGCTGCTGTCGGAGAAGGGAACCGGGCCTGGACCTGGAGCTGTGGGGATCTGCAGGGAGAGCGTTCCTTGGTGTGTGGTTCGGCCGCGGCAGAGCGAGTCTCTCGTGTCCCTGGAACCTGGCCTGGACTCTGCCTCCCTGTGCCTTGTCTGTTTCTGGGTTCCTGCCTTCCACAGGATTCACCAGCCGATCACCTCTCCTGACCTGCTGATCTCATGGTCGACCATTTACGTTAAAACTCTTAGGCTTTGCCTCACGCTTGAATCAGCCCCATTAGGTTTAGAGATGGGTAGCATAAAATATTATGCTTATTTAGTTGCCACCTAAAAAGCAGGTTTTGTTTGTTTGCTTGTTTGTTTTTGTCTTTTGCCTACTAACCTTCCCTTGGTTCCTCAAAGTATGATCTGGTTTTCACTCTGCAGTCCTTTATTTTCACTCCCCACTGACAGGTTTCATTTCACCAAACGCAAAGGCCAACTTGGGAGACCTCTCGGCTTTCCCCTCCCATCTGTAAACAGCCACGTCTGTATCCCTTTCCCATTTCACTAGGGATCCTTCTTTTGGTTGAGGGAAATTCCTTTTGGAGGAACATTTGACCTGCTTAACCTCTATTACCCTGAAGCTATCCTCCATTCTCTGCTGCTTAGCATTTTAACTTCTCTCTTCTGGTTTCCCAGCCAAAAAGACAAGACAAAAATAAAACCCTCAACATCATAGCCCCTTACAGACTGTTATTTACCTCTCACCTCTTTTGCACAGCAAGACCTAAATTCAAATTATAATTAAATTCTCTCTCTCTCTTCCTCTTACACTCCTCCCTCTCTTTCCGCATTCCCATTCTCCAACCCACTTCTACAGACTCCCACCACCAAACTCGCAGATGTCACCAAGACCTCTTAATTGACAAAGTGGGAAGCACTTTTCAGTTCTCACCTTATTTGACCTCTGAAGTATTTGACATTTGATCATACTTTCTTCCTGATCTTATACCCTTGATTTCTATGGCCGGTCTCACCTGCTGCTGCTTTTAATCTGACTCTTCCAGTCTCCGTTGTGGATTCCTGTTGTTTTTTGTTTTGGACTCTTCTTAACTGTTGCTGATGTGTTGCTGTTTGTCGGGATTTTGCCTATTCACTGCTAGTTCTATTCATTTTCTCCAGGTCCTCTCAGTGGTTCAGAGCCTCTCAAAGCTGTATCTTTAGTTCAGACAGCTTTCCTAAGATAAACTTCCTACTTGGATAACCTTCAGGCACTTCAACATGTTTAAAATTGATGCAATCTCGGGACCAGCAGTTAGTGTAATGGCCATGTCGCTGGACTCCCACGTAGTCGACTGCGGTTCGCGTCCCGGACCTGGTGGCTTAATCTCACGCCGGGCGCATGTGCATGCGTGCCCAAGATCCCAAGAGGAGAATGGAGAAGGGATTGCAGCTGACCATCCCCCCTGGGGGTGATTTCTTGCATGTGCCCTACAGCAAAAACCTCTCCAAAAAAAAAAAAAAAATTCATGCAATCTTCTGTGTACTCTGTACTTGCTCCTCCTTATTGTCATGAGTAATAGCACCTAGCTATTCAGTTACAAAACCTGGAATCTGGAAACCCAGTTCTGATTTCGCTAGCTATTCAATCATATAACCTGGAATCTGGAAACCCAGTTCTGATTTCCTTTTTCTTAAAACTTTACAGTCACTAGATTCTTACTATTTTTGCCTCTGAAGTATCACTTATGTCCTAGCCCTATCCTGCTGTTACATCAACAGTCTCCTAATTGATTTCCCTATCTCTAGCACTGCACTGATCAATACGGTAACCACTACCCACATGTGACTTTTTGGATTTAAATGAATTAATATTTAATAAAAGTTTAAATTTAGTTCCTCCGTTACGCTAGCCACATTTTAAGTTCTCAGTAGCCACTTGTGGCTAGTGGCCCTAAGATAGAATGGTTTCAGTCATTACAGAAAGTTCTGTTAGATAGAAAGTTCTGTTTTGGTGCTCTCGACTTTCCCCTCTGCCTCTGTCACAGTACCGCCAGCAGTGAGCTTTCCAAAATACAGCTCTGGCCACGTGCTGTTTGAACCCTATTACCTTCTCATTACCTGTGTGAAAGTCCAAATTCCTTTGCTTGTCAGAAAGGGCTATCTGCCTCTCCAGCCTCATGTCTAGTCACTTCCTCTTGGACCCTATTCTACAGCCATATCGAGCTGTTTCCCAAAAACACCATCTTGCTTCATGCTTCTGTTTTACACACATGCGCTCTCTCTATGTGGAATATGTTTCCCCCAATCTGTCAAAGCTCAAAATTCCAACAACTCTGAAAAGCCTACTCTTGCCTCCTAAGTTGAGCTAACTTCACTCCTTGGTGTCTCTTCCTCTTAGGATTGTATCTTTCACAGTGAGTAGTATTTATGCAATTCCATGTTTCTTTCCGCTGCTAGACTTTGATTTTGACAGTAGGGCCATAGTCTTATCTTTTTTTTCCCCTAATACTTGCAGTTCTTTGCACAGTACTTAACCAACATTAGGTACTCACAAAATAAGCAAATATTGAAGGGAATTGGTGCTTAACCAAATATGTGACTTAGGTAAGATTGCAATGTATGCGTATTGTGGAGCACCGTGTATAGTATTGGGGAATAATAATAGACACAAATCGTTGCTCAAGTGTATATCTAAGGCATCAGAATGATGTTAGGAAAACCAGAAGCAGAATAGCACAGGTTATTTTCACAGAAAGCAGTGCAGTCTACAAGTAGAGCAGGAGAAGAGAAAACTGGCAGGTAACCTTATATGTAGAGGCTGTATCATGGAGGGCGTTTTAGTCCATTCTCTGCTACTTACTACCAGACTGGATGACTCATAATGCACAGAGGTTTGTTTAGTTCACAGTTTTGAAGGTCCAAGGTTAAGAGGCTGCATTGGGTAAGGGTCTCGTTTGGGGACTCCCCAGAGTCCTATGACAGTGCAGGGCATCAAATGTCAAGAGAACTAGACCTTGTGTCATGTCTATGTGTCTCCATCCTTGTCTTTCTGGTCTTTCCTTATAAAAATGTCCGTATTTGAACTTGAAAAGGGGAGGGCCCCATCCTAATGATTTTATCTCATTCTAATCATCTCCCAAAGGTTTCACCTCTTAATCCCACAGTTGGAATAAGTTTCCACTCTTTTAAAACCATTATAACCAACTTTCAATGCATGAATTTGGGTGTGGGGGGGACACATGCAAATCATAGCAGAGGGTAACCAGTTGTTGAGTGCAAAACCAGTGGGGAGCCATTGAAAGGTCTTGAGCAATGACTTAATTAGAATTATGTTAGTGGGACCAGTAGATGGTATAATGGTTATGTCGCTGGACTCCCACGTAGTTGACACGGTTTGAGTCTCTGACCCAGCAGCTGCAAACTCACTGGGCACATACGCATGCGTGCCCAAAATCCCAAAAGGAGGATGGAGAAGAAGGGATTGCTGTGTGACCAACCCCCTGGGGGGGGGGAGGTGATTTCTTGCTTTTGGGCTGTCTCTCTCTGTCTCTCTGGCGAGCACATATTGGACATAACAAAAATCTCTTTTAAAAAATAAAGAATTGGACCAGCAGTTGGCATAATTGCTGTGTCACTGGACTCCCATGTAGTCGACCGTGGTTCAAGTCCTGGTTCCGGTAGCTAAAACACACAGGGCACGTGTAGGTAGATGCCCAAGATCCTGAGAGGAGAATGGAGGAGAAGGGATTACAGCATGACCATCCCTCCGGGGGGTGATTCTTGCTTTCTGTCTCTCGTCTCTGTCTGGCGAGTGCACATGCTCTGTAGCAAAAACCTCTAAAAAAATATAACTAAAAATAAAGAACGATGTTGTTAGATGGGAACTCTTGTCTTCAAGTGGCTAGCATTATATATGTTAATAAATACCACATAAAAATGTAAGAGGCTAGAAAGATAAAATTAGTAATAGCTAAAATGTATTGAGGACTTAAAACACGTCAGACTTAGGGCTGGCAGATGGTATGGTAGTTAAGGCACTGAAACTCCCACATGGCTGACTGCGGTTCGAGTCTTGGACCTGGTGGCTTGCTTTCTCACTTTCCC